ATGCAATTCCTTAAAAATCCATAATGTTGCTGGAAGAAAAAACAACTTCTTACACTAAAAGTTACCCGAAAATTCTTTAAAACATTTGTTTCAAATTCCCAACAAATGACTTAAAATCGGAAAAACAGGAAAAAAGGCATTAATGTTTTTTCATAATGCCGTTAACCACTTTATACCAACCCAAAGATGCTTACCTTAATAGTTCCGTTCCAAAGGAAACTCTGAACCCTAAAAAAATAAGGTGCTAGTCTTTTCAAAATGTCATTAACATCGCGTCATTACAACTACACATTTATTAAGAAGAAATAAAAAAAACGGGTTAATATCGTTTTTAAAAGTAAATTTAAATAAAACTCTTACCACTTACCAGAAATCTGTTAAAAAAATAAAAAAATAAACATAGTTTCGTTTCAAAAAATTTGAGAAAAAAAAGAGCCAAGTCACAATCATGTGAAAAAAATGTTGTTTATACAATCATACGGTCATACTTTATTTTCTGGTTCGAGATAAATATACATGTACGAAATCATTACCATACATAGCATACATGTAACAGTTTGTAACACCATACATACATACATCGGTTTCCATACAATACTTGTTTTTTATATAATCATTTTTTATATAGTTTTCTAAGGACCTTACTAATACATTACTAGATCACAGAACGCAAACAACATAAAATTTCGGCAGGACTTTACTAGGTTAATGTTATGAAACGTTATTTACTTTCTGACACTGCATGTTTCGTGTAAGTTAACTGTCGACAATAACTAGACAAGATATTGAGTCTCACTCAAAAAGTTAATAAACGAACTGGTATCATTGACTTATCAACTTTATAGTGTGTTGTATTTTGTCAACAAATTTGAACTAGATTCGTGACTAAAAAAGTTTTCTTGATGAGAATAAATGATAATATGAATACAGAAAATCTAATACGCTGATTCATGTGTTTCTTTCAACACAGGAAAATGCGTTCTGTCAACATCAATTGTCTAGTTCTAGGAATGCCATTCAGAAATATAATCTCTATCAAAATTAAAGAAAACGAAACGATTGGCGAACTCAAAAGACGTATTAAAGCTGAAAAAGATTACTTCGAAACTGCTGGCGCAAGCGACCTCAGATTATGGCGTACAAATACTCGTATAGGAAGCAGTAATGCAATTCCTTCTTTTGATCTTTCCGATAGCAACGAAATATTGTCATATTTTCAAATCAAAGATATTTGGAAAGAAGATCCTCCCAAATCTAATCTCCACATAGTTGTTAAAATCGAAGGTTAGTGTTGCTTTTTGCTTACGTTGGTCTTCCATTACAATAAATAACAAAAATACTTGCAATCAGTTGTTGCCCTCAACTGTATAATTTCTGGATACCCTTCTGATACGTATTACCGATTGAAATTTCTATAAAAAGAAATGTTGGCGAACTTAAGTCTATGATCAAAAAATGATGGAAACCTCTCTTTAGTCATATTGTTTCCAACGAACTAAAACTCATGGCTATAAACGTCCCTCCTAATCAGGTTATTGCATATGAAGAAGACAAGTGTCTCATGAAAAACTTGGACAAAATTAAGAGCGTTTTCACTAATTCAATCTACAATTATAACTTCGACCATCTTCATGTGATGATAAGTTCAAATACCTGAAAGTAAGTACATTGTAAAGCCATTTATAAAAAACTATATATGAGAAGCACGAGAAACAATTCCAATGGAAGATCACCCACGCAACGGTAACATTAGTCAAATTGAAGGACAAGTATTTCTCAGAACTTCATAATATTGAAAACCAGTCTATTAATCTTTATAGAACACATGATGGAAACACCCAAGGGGAATTTATTCGAAGTGATTCCATGCTAGAGCGTATCATGTGGTGGAAAGTTTTATAGAATCGATGTTAGTATAATCATCGAAGTTCAACACGAATAGCTACATCAAAATACTAGATTGTGTAAACAATTCATATTTTTGTATTTAAAGAACAGTTATATTTATGTACAAAAAAATAGAGACTTGCAATATTAGAATGATAAATAATTTCCACGAAGTCTTCTACTTTAACATAAGGTACGACTCATCATCTCGGAATATTGTTTTTTTTAATGAAGGCGTTGCATAGAAATGTAGATTACACTACAATAAATTTCGTGTTTATTGCGCCCTATCTTATTGGAGACACTTTAGAAGATTAATCTGTTATCTATTAGCGTACGCTAAGTGGACAAAGTGGACAATTATTTTTGACCACAGATATTAACAACATATAAAAAGGATCCTTTAGTGTACAAAAACAACAGATTTAATTCAGCCAAACCACGTAAGTACGCCACATGGGTACCTATAACTGAAGAGAATCAATCATCTATTAATTTATTATCGTAACAAAAACACAATGCATTCATTGCTTTATTCTAGTTGGAAAAAATAGAATGCACTTACAATCAGAAGACATAAACTCAGAAAGTTAATTACATTTGTGGAAATTCTGCTACAAAAATTTTACATACAAGTTCAGTCCCGAATGATATGTGGTCAGAGGCGCAAGTTGAGTAGTTACCCTTATATTCTGATTTTGCAACCGGTTCCTACGCAAGATATATTTTACATAGAATTTATATAGAAATAGGTTTAATGATGGTTCTGCGAAATATGATTATGTATCGCATCAGACAATTGCATGCAATAAACTGTCACGATTATCATTTAGTTATTTTTTGTTGATAATTATTTGGTATACAGTCTGGTATACATGGTCTACGTAGAACAATACATGAATTTTGTCTACGTGAGGCATGTGAAGGGAGATAGCCAACTGTGACCCAAAGTCATAGTTCGTAGTTGTGAACAGTGATAAACATTTAGCACTAGTGTGACTGACTCACACAAAAACAAATTCAGATAGTTCTGTGATAAAGAATAATGTAAATCGTTTATTAAATTAATGATGCGTGCCCTTTGAGTAGTCTCAGACTGGTGCAAAGCATCGTTTCGAAGAAGTGAAGTACATTTCTCTATGATGATGGTACTGTGTGATTCTCGGGATGGGGGATAATGTATGCGATACAGAGTAACTTAAACTATCCTTTTGGAATTCTAAATATTCGACACATGGTTGACAATTTTCCTTTTAACTATTTGTTCCAGTTTTGTATCTCTTATAAAAATGCGATTCAGAGTTATGTAATAATTTTTTTTGCCTGCAATTCACGAATGCTTTATTTATCATTAAAAAATAAACTTGGTTCTATTAAGAATACGAAATAATCAAACCGATATATACCCGATATAGTCAGTCTCTATTTCCCCGTTTCGATTACTAAATATTTTGTGGCCGAAGCCTCTTTGCATACTCTTTTCCTCTTAAAGTTGTGATTCGTATATGATTATTGGGAAAATTGTCAGCAATAAACCTATTCCGTGGGAAAACAAATATCCGAAAAAAAAGTAGTTTTCATTGTGGCACAGGTAATCAGTAATCATTGATCGTTTCCAAAAAGCCGTTACAAATGAATCCCGCAGCACAAAAAATTGCCCAACAACGAGACTGTGACCTTAGGGTCACGGTTGCCTTATTAAAGTAAAACTGAGGTACAAATCTGGTAAATCTGGTAACGATCACATTGTGGCTTATGCCTTATAACTTATTTGTAGATTGCGTAGCAATTCTTTTTTTTCGAAAAGTTGTAATTTCCTAAATCTTGTATTATATGGGATAAAAACTGTTTACTGTATTTTGAATATTGCAACATTATACCCCGTGTGGAAATCTTTCTAAGACGTGTTTCTTGTTTGGGTAGACTATTTTTTGTACCCATAGGCAGAAACATTTGCGACCAACAGCACTTTAACTGTATATGATTAATAGACAAAGCGATTACAAAAAGAAAATCATGTTTCCGATGAAATGAACTACCTCACTACACTGAAGGAAGATAAAAGGTAGTATAAAAAGTAGTATTAATGTGTGGATCAGTCTCCTGCGGCTTCAGGTATAGTATATATTACCATTATTTTTTCGTTTTTGTATGTACGGTATTTGTAATTAATGTTTATTAATCATAACACGATATTCTTATTAATAGCACAATCGATTTCATATGAAACGAAACCACCTGAAAATCTACAATGAGGAACAAGAATATATAAAGAGTATTTGATGATTCATTGTTATCCGAAAAAAATGTTGAGAAGAAATTCGTTAACTATATGTAGCAAGATTGGATTCTTGAAGAAAGAACTTGTATATAGAAACTTGTAAGTCACATATTAAATTTTTTTGTACACGTTTTTTCATGATTCATTAATACAACATACAACAATAGTGCATAGGCAACAGTTGTCAAGGACATAGTTGAGAAGAGAGATGATCATAGTATACTGCTACGCAACCTTGGATTCCATTTTTTCTACACATAATTAACGAAGTAACACTTAAAAGTAGCTTTAGATAGTTCACTGAAACTGGACAACATTGTCATCAGTCGGAAGCTGCTCAAAGAGCACATGTAATATTTTATTTGTTCTCGTATTTTATATTTTTATGAGTTCCTGTCAGGATAACCTATTAATTTCCACCTCGCTCTTTTCTAAATGTCCACAACTAATAGACACAACAATAGTGTGAAAAAAATAAAGCTACTCATTTTTTATATTGCACAAAAATCCCCAATGTTTTTAATGACCAAATTCTCCCTAGTGAATGATTATCGTTATACCCCCTCTTTTTATTGTATTTTTCGATCTGGATGACAACACATTATCAAACGGCAATATACATGTTATTTCGTTTCGAATGAACCCCCATTTTATAAGTTGACAGACGATAACTATTCTTACTTTAGCATGTACAGACATTAACCAATCCTTACAGTGTCCCCCCATTGACACTGCCTTTTCTTCGAAAAGTCCGTTGTACACCAGTAAGAATACCAGTGTCCATCTTTGAGCGATCAGCTAAACATCTGTACAAGAACATAAAAATAACATTACTATCAACTATACACGTTGTAACATCTCTCTAATTAACCGAAAATATGTGTATTACATAGATGCGTATTTTTAATTGGTTTTCTCATAGTGTTACAAAACCAAAGGTGACAAATCACTATGCGTAGGACATAATTCTTGGTTTGGCTGGTCTTCGATATTAATATTAATTGTGTTTAATTTAGTATATTTTTCGTATTCATTTCAATCGGAGACTGCTTGAAGGGCACAGAAAGTGTAATATAGTGTTCTGCTAGTCTGGTTCATTCAATAAATTACCAATGTCATTGTTAAATATGTCCAATATATACTGTTCACAAATATAAGAGATATATATTTTGCTTACCACTGTATACTAGAGAAATTTACTAGAGATATAGGATACAAAAAAGGGTACGTTCACTAATTTCTCTAAGTAGCGTAATAAAGTATTGGAAATAGGTAATCTGAGAACATCTCATTGGAATAAAATAATTTCTTCAATCTTTGAGAACGGGTCACATGATACCCTGAACAAATGCGATCTACCCCAGTATCGCCAGAAAATTTTTTCACCCCCACGTGACTTTGGCAGGCATTATGAGATTTGGCTGGAATTAAGAAATTAACCATGTGTCGAATAACGTGTGACGAATAGGATTTTAGACACCGGAAAAAATTAAGTCCCCAGAATACTTATAAAAAATGAGAAAGTGGAGGGATGTGACACAGGTGACAAATTATTTAGGGTCACGTGGGGTGGAAAAATTTTCTGGCGATACTGGGGAAGATAACAAATGTGTAAAGTGTCATATGATAACTTTAGCTATTTATGGAGTGTGCATTATGTGTAACTCTATTAGCCGGCAACACAAAAATGGTACAATGATGCAATGACTACTAAAATAAATTGCGTATAACAATCAGCCACAATAGCCGCAGCAGTTATTTTTATATACCCCTTTTCTACTTGTATTACAAATTTATTCGGGAGTAAAAATTATTTTATCCACAACAATCATAAATGAATCTCTCACGTTGGCAGAAGAGATAAGACCGACACTGTTTTCAACTTTTTGTGTAAGGACAAGGCTTAGAAACTTGGATATTATTTCGGAAGGAAGAATTATTTGTCGTGCCTACTACAAGATTAACTTGAAATATACAGAACGAAGTTAGAATCTACAATTCTCGTGGGTTTAGGAGTACAAAGAGAAAAAAATATGTATCTCTGTCAGAAGAAGTCTTAACAAAATACGGCATTAATTTTAATGGTAACAGAGACTCACATCTACGTAATTCAAGATGACAATGAACGTTTCAATTGTATGGCAGATTGTTATTCAGGATGAAGCATTATGGGTCCTTAGTCATAGATAGTTTAAGAATCTATGCGTAACGAAGTATGTTTCGTTCATACTTCATATTGCTTCTCATATTGCAGGAGGTACGACGAATAAGGATTTAAGGTATGAAGCCTGAATATGAATAACTGGAGATACAATTTCTGGTGCTCGCACTGAGCGTTTTGCCCTATGAACCTAGGTTCCTAGAACCTCTTCTGTTAACAGCGTGGTTGAGCGGCAAGACGGTCATTCTATTACGTTGATAATTATTAGACGAGATATATACAAGGAAAAATCTCCATGATTTTCTAGTGCGTAGCACCCCTCGAAGAGTGATACACGTTCTCTCATTTACTTGTAATGATAGTTGATTTAACACGAATTATGCTCCATATTATAGTTTTACTCTCTTTCAATAATGATAAGTATATACTTTTATTCAGAGATTGAGCTACGCCCAAATATCAATTATAGCATTATTACGTCAAATTAAATTCTTAACGTACACAGCCACACACTTAACCTATTTAGGTTAGCATTTAGCTATTTTCATGACAACGATATTAATAAATATTTTGCTATACCCTTGGTAAATTTTATAGGACATATATTTTTCATGATATACGAAACAAAAGCGGAGTTGATATATGTATTTGACAAAGATCAATATCCTCCAGAAATTAAAGAACATCTCTCGTGATTCATTCTAAAACACATGAATATGATTAAACAATAAAATTTCATTAGTACATTAAACCGTGTATATGCACATGTATTCTTTTCTCCTTAATCTCTACCTTGTGATAATTTTTCGTCAAAAGGTAAGATGTTTCAACTATGGCGCAGTTACATGTGATTAGTTTGTGACAGTCTACTAAACTACCCCAACGGCACCCAGAAAATTCTTCGAACTCGGCCGGCGTTATGCACTGACACGTGATCGAAGAATTTAGGATGTGATGAATAAAACGTGACAAATAGAATTTCATCTACTTGAAAAAATCCAAGTCCCTCAGATAAATATAAACAGTGAAACTCGGACAGGGCGTGACTAGTGTTTGGATCCGTAACCGGATTCAACCGGATATATCTGGATAATTTTTTTTTTCGGATATCCGGATAATTGCGGTTTTTATCCGGATAAGAAACCGGTTAAAAATTATTCAGGTTGACCCGGAATCCGGATAAAAAAAAATTTTTTTTTGATTTTAATTTTATCCTTTTAATTTTCATTTCATTTGTAAAATATTCTATTTGTATCATTGATTTATTAATAAAAAAAGATTTATTTGTCTAATAAAATTATTTTATCATGATTTAGAATTTATTTTATGTAATACAATAAATCTTATACTGTTATAATAGAATTATTCAATAAAAGAGTAAAAAAATATAACTTACTAAAAGATTTATCATTTTATTTAATAAAATTAAAATTCACTTTATTTAAAAACATTTACATAATAAAAATAAGACACTAACAAAAATAAATTTAATATCAATTATTCTAATACATCCTCATCCTCCACAAAATCATTATTTTCCACTTCTAAATCTGGTGGAAATACATTAATATGATCTATAGTTTGCATGTTGCGTTTTAAAAATACCATTTTTCTTACTAAACCAGGATCTAATAAACTTCTTTTTGCCGTAATGTGATTCCCTGCATCAGAAAAAAGTCGCTCAGAAGCTACAGAAGTAGCAGGAATTCCTAAGTATTTTTGTGCAATAATAGAAAGAATTGGAAAAATTTCTTTTTTAGTCTTCCACCAATTTAATGGATTTTTATTTTCTCTAGCAACTGGCAAGAGAAAATAAGTAGTAATTTCATCAGCTATTGTTGATGATGCAGTAGATTTTTCTGTTGTTTGAAATACTTTTCTTATTGATTTTTCACGCATCTCTCTATACTCATGTAAAGATTTTGTACTGGGAGTTGAACTTCTACTAGTATCAGCTGAAATTGTTGAAATTGGTGTAATTGTGGGTGATGGTGGAGTACTAATTTGTTGTTGCATTTCTCTTTTCAACTGATCATATTGTATCTGTAAACTTGAATGAATTTTTACTTTTATATTTTCATCAGATATAAAATTAAGATCTTTATATCGTGGGTCTAAAAGTGCTGCCATAATGCCAAACTCATCTGGCATTGACCAGTAGTG